AATCAAACCATGATCAGTATTTTAATTTTGTCCATTGCTGTAGATAATATCCGTACATTGACTCTGGTTGAAATCAAACCATTGTCAATATTCTAATTTTGTCCATTGCTGTAGATAATATCCATACATTGACTCTGGTTGAAATCAAACTATGATCAATATTTTAATTTTGTCCATTGTTGAAGATAATATCCGTACATTGACTCTGGTTGAAATCAAACCATGATCAGTATTTTAATTTTGTCCATTGCTGTAGATAATATCCGTACATTGACTCTGGTTGAAATCAAACCATTGTCAATATTTTAATTTTGTCTGTTGTTATATATAATATCCTTACATAGAGTCTGGTTGAAAACAAAAGAACATGATTAGTAGAACAACGATTATCACAGCATTGTTGGACTGTTAATATATTAGAGTATAACAGTTAGAGATTTGAGACATGTAGAACAACGACTGTTAACGTATTGCAGTAAGAGCTATGGGAATATACTTGAAAGATTATTGGAATATACAATTAAGCCAAAGTTTTTTCAAAGCAATTTGATTAATGGTGACAAACTACAGGCCACTATCTTTGTTACTATGTTTTATCGCCTTCTCTTCTTCGGATTATATCTTAAACAAATTTTTTATGAACATTTTGTCCACCCCGTTACCATAGCAACGCTTTGAGAAATATCTTCCGTCGTTCGCTATTTTACATTTCGAAACGAACATCAAAAACTATCTCAGCTTTTAAAGACATTCTTAAATGTTTTCCTCAGAATAATCCGAGTAAGTTATGTCGGGCTTAGCTGGTGTAAGTGCACTGCAATGTTCTTGAGGATCAAAAGTTCAGTAAAATCCTTAAACATTACGATGGTTCTTGAAAAATAAACCCAAGAAAAACAACCCAGAAAAGTGATTTAAATACAGAAAGTAACCCTAAGTACTTCCGATACAACAACGAAATACAGTAACATGGACTAGATACATTTTAAAGACAGAGATAGACATTCGCGAATGCGAAGTGCTAAACACATTCCGTTCTTCAAGCTACATAAATAAACAGTTCAGGAAGAACTTCGTTCTAGAGTAGATGAAATAATTTTATATAATAGAGTTCTTACGTAATATAGCTTTCTTCTATTTATGTTTAGTTATTTTTCCATTACTAAAAAAACTCTTTACTTCCTTATTCTCAATTTATCAATTTAAGAATCACATCCCACATGCACCACCCCCTGTATTTTAAAACTTTAAACTGGTCGCTCTCCCACTAAAACATACCATTTGGAAAGACTCATTCTCTGAAATGGGTAGAGTAAATGGGTGGTGAGTAACTGGAGGAGGGGCTTTATCTGGACTGAGTGTCCTGATGAAGTTTGCCAAATCAGCTTCACTGTTGACCGCTCGGCTTGTACTGCAGATATTCTCGTAATGGTCAGCCTGCTCTCTGGCCTATAAAAGACAAAAATACAGTTAGTTTAAGATTGCCGACCATATATTTTCTGTTTTAAAATACAATTTTTTTATACACATACTTTTTATTCTGCAAAAATTAATAAAGCATTTACATTATTTTTGAGTTATAGGTTAAAGAGGTTGATCACTATTAGAGGTTGAGGGTTCCAGAAGTTCGTGAACTAAAAGCTAACCCTTGAAATGTTGTTCTAAACCAAAGGTTTGCTATTGAAGAAGATCATAAACTGAAGGTTAACTACTTAATAGGTTCATGAATTAAAAGATAACTCTTAAATAGGTTATAAGTTAAAGGATAGCTATTTAGAAAAAAATCCATAAACTGAAGACTAACTAATTAAGGGTTATAAAATAAAGGTGATCTCTTCAAGTGGTTAGCGGTTTAAAAGGTTGATAAATTAAATATGATCTCTACAAGTGGTTAACGGTTTAGGAGGTTGATAAACTAAAGATGATCTCTCCAAGTGGTTAACGGTTTAGGAGGTTGATAAACTAAAGGTGATCTCTCCAAGTGGTTAACGGTTTAGGAGGTTGATAAACTAAAGATGATCTCTTCAAGTGGTTAACGGTTTAGAAGGTTGATAAACTAAAGATGATCTCTCCAAGTGGTTAACGATTTAGGAGGTTGATAAACTAAAGGTGATCTCTTCAAGTGGTTAACGGTTTAGGAGGTTGATAAACTAAAGGTGATCTCTCCAAGTGGTTAACGGTTTAGGAGGTTGATAAACTAAAAATGATCTCTCCAAGCGGTTAACTTCCTAAACCGCTAACCACTTGAAGAGATCATATTTAATTTATCAACCTTTTAAACCGCTAACCACTTGAAGAGATCACCTTTACTTTATCAACTTCTTGAACCGTTAACCACCTGAAGAGATCACCTTTAGTTTATCAACTTCATAAACCGTTAAGGTTGATAAATTAAATATGATCTCTTCAAGTGGTTAACGGTTTAGGAAGTTGATAAACTAAAGGTGATCTATTCAGGTGGTTAACGGTTCAAGAAGTTGATAAAGTAAAGGTGATCTCTTCAAGTGGTTAACGGTTCAAGAGTAGAAGGAAGTATATGTTAACCAATGTTTTCCAAACGGAAACAAGTAACGTATTGCATCTAATAAGAAGGTTATTTTCTGTCATCTACAAGATAATAAAGTGCGTTTAACATTCTTTCTGTGTATAAAATCAAATCATAAAAAGTTAAGATATAAGCTTTCTGTTTTGTCTATCAACTCTTTAGATTGAGGTAACTGACTTTAAAATGGTCTTAGTTCATATATGAATAAATAAAAATCATTACTAACGTCTCAAATGATCTTACCTGCCGAAATATCGGAATTGACTGTTAGTAATAGCAAAACGAGACTCGAATCATGAATAATGTCATTAACAATACGTGCACGTTAACCACTGTAGCCACTCCCGGCCCTCTTCTGTTTGACTACACAGTTAAGAAGGATGTTGAATAAAGAAAGATCACGGTAGAAATGTGTTCAGCTCACAAATGTGGAAAATGATAAACTGTTAACGGGAACATGAATATTCAACAGAAAAGTGTATTATTGGGCGGAAGCACTGCGGGAAAAACCATGTTGTTGGATTGAAGTATTGTAAAAATTGTATTGTTGTTTAGAAGCATTGTGAAACTGTATTGTTGTTTAGAAGTATTGTGAAACTGTATTGTTGGATTGAAGTATTGTAAAAATTGTATTGTTCGGCGGAAGTATTGTAAAAACTGTATCGTTGGGCGGAGGTATTGTGAAACTGTATTATTGGCTAGAAGTTTTGTGAAAACCATATTGTTGGACGAAGGTATTGTGAATACAGTATTGTTGGCTAGAAGTATTGTGAAACTGTATTGTTGGCTAGAAGTATTGTGAAACTGTATTGTTAGCTAGAAGTATTGTGAAACTGTATTGTTGGCTAGAAGTATTGTGAAAACCGTATTATTGGACGAAATTATTGTGAAACTGTATTGTTGGTTAGAAGTATTGTGAAAACCGTATTATTGGACGAAGTTATTGTGAAACTGTATTGTTGGTTAGAAGTATTATGAATACTGTATTGTTGGTTAGGAGTATTGTGAATACTGTATTGTTGGGTAGAAGTACTGTGAAACTATTGTTGGTTAGAAGT